CCTACTTGCCATTTCTCCCCTTAATATCAGGAATGTATTTACCAGCCTTGGAAATTCTCAAAAGCTTCCAGGAAAAAATGCACATTGTCAATTAACTTTACTAAGAAGGAAGACCCTTTTCCAAAAAGGGGCTGGAAGGGAGGGGCTGGGGCGTTACCACCTTCTCTAGAATAGTGGAAACCCTGCATTCCCGGCCTGCTGCTCCAGAACTGGCTTCCCAAAGCCCACCGGTAGAGGCAGGTGAAATGTTGAGAGGGGCTGCATGGGGACCTGTTTATAAGCCTCCCACATTAAAACTGTCCCTCCACCTCCCAGCCCTTCTCTCAGATTGTGATTTGAGTCCAAGTCCAGCCGGGTTCACGGGTGGCCGAGTGAGGGGAGAGAACATGAAAAGGTACAGTACCTGGTTTCCCATTCTGATCGGGGGCCGGGGGCCGCCTGCGTATCGCGGTGACATAAAAGGCTGCAATTACAGGGCATTAGTTCAATGACAGCCTGCACTCAGCGGTGACAGACAGAAATGCGCTCCTCTCCACAAAGTCCAGCTTTGTTACCACTAGTCGTCTTTTAAACTCTCTTCCTCCCGGTCCCTCCGGGCAAAACTTCCTTTGGGTGGAGGGAGTGATAGATGCATATACCCTGCACCTGTTGGTGGAGATCTACTCTGGATGCCTGCCGGGGCAGCAACTGGGACCCCGCACAGGACGCGGAGGAACGGTTACAGAAATGCAGGGCAAAGGAGGAGACCTCTGCTCTTGGTAAGGGCAAGTGAAAGAATCGGAAAGGGACTTGTACAGAAAATTTTCAAGCGTGCAGACAAAGCTGGACGCGAGCTCACACGCACTCACAACACCGACAAAGGGGGTGGGGAAAGGGAGCGCGGGGGAGGAGGTACACAATGAAAACAGTGAGGGTACAGCGGGCGCCCTAACTCAATGCGGGGGTGGGGTGGGGGGTGGGGCGCGGGGGAATGGGCAAGAAAGCTTTCTCAGCAGCGAGAGTGCACAAAGAAAAGGCCAGGGATGCAGCTTTGGTTACAAACAATGGTTAACCAAACTCAAAAACCAAACCAAAAGTGAGAGGAAAAGACAAAAAACGCAAAGGCCGCTGACAAGGTCACAGAAATAGTTTTCCTTTTCTTTTGGTTTCATATCCAAGCGGGATGTGATGTCCAAGGAATGCAGACTATCTTTAGGAAAAAAAGATATATTTTGGGGGGGAAAAGAATCTCCTTGGTCAAATCTCCTCAAAGGCAATGGCTAGACCACATTTTGATTTTTGTTTTTCCTCTGCTGGCTCTGTCCTCCTGGTGCCCCGCGCCCCCCGGCGGGCGGGCGAGCCACAGTGCGTTTACCTGACTGTGGGGTCCCATCATGCTGCTGGGATTGTGAGGTGGAGGCTGTGCGTGCGGCGAGGGCTGTGACCCCGGAGGACCCTGTGAGGCCAGACAGTAGAGGCAGGTTATAGATCACAGCACATGGAGAAGCGCAGGAGAAGCTTAAAAGAACAAAAATTAAACCAAAACGAAGGGCGGGCGGGTGTGCAGGCGGAGGGCTCTGGTTGGCGGGGAGGTGCAAGCTGCTGCTTGGGTCGCCGGCTCAACGGTGTGAACGGCGGGCAGGAGGGAGAGAAGCTGATAAACACATTCACGGGGGACTTACAGGCACGACAAATAAAATCAAGCTCCTTTGTGGAAGCAC